CTAGGACTTGCAGAAGCTCATGAACGGACTGGACCTGTGGAATGATACCTGCAGGACCTCCAGGACTCAGACTGGACTCAGCATACCTGAGAGGAGGTTTGGTGAGGATCCAGTGAAGCAGACCAATGACTCACTGGTATGAACATCTGCTGGTGATGCTGACTGGACAAAATGGGTATCTATGTGACACATGCTCCCAGTGCCGCCAGGACAAATGAAGAGGTGCCAGAGAGGTGGGAAGGATGGAGGAGCAAAGAAGGTTTGGTTTGCTTTGTTTTGTTTTGTTTATTTGCCTGTTTTGATTTTTTAAAAATTTTTTTGGGGGAGGCACTGCAGGGGTGAGTGAAATAAGGGTGCATGATGTGAAATTTCCAAAGAATCAATGAAAAAATTATGTTAAAAAATATGTGATGAAATTTTCCAAATTTGACAAAAGCTATAAGCCTACATAGTGAAGAATTTCAGTATAGTGATATTTTATTTGTGCTGAAATGTGATTTTATTTGTATGTTAATAAATAAAGTTGCCTGGGGCTCAGAGCTAATAGCAAGACATAGCAGAAGCTGGGCGGTGGTGGCACACACCCTTAATCCCATCAGATGGCAGGCAGAGTCTGTGTGTTCAAGGACATAGTCAGCTTGGAGACACACACCTTTAATCTCAATACCAACCATAGAAGACCTGGAGGTCTGTATAGACAGGCAGTGACGAGGAGGTCATGTGGTTGGGTTTACAACCAATGAGAAGGCAGAACAGAGTCAATAAAATGACAGATACACAGGAAGTAGGTCTCTTTGGGAAGGGGAAGGACGGCGGCAGCGGGTGGTAAGAAAGCGGTTTTAGTCTCAGCTCTTAGCTACTGCTCTGACCTCTTGGGCTTTTAACTCTGCATTTGGCTCTGTGTTTCTTATTTAATAAGACCGTTACATCTACATTTCAGTGAGTCCAAGGAGAGGAAGCAGGAAGAAAACTATACTAAGATACTTCACAATCATACCATTCAAAACCAGAAATAAAGAGAAATAAATAATCAACAGGCTGGAGAGTAGATCAGCAGTTAAGAGCACTGGGAGTTTTTCCAGAGGACCTGGGCCTGACTCCCAGCACCCACATGGCAATTTACAATGGTCTGTAACCAGTTCTAGGGGATTTGACATCCTCTTCTGCTGTCTATGGGCACCAAGATGTACGTGGTGCACAGACACATATGGAGGAAAAACACCCATACACATAAAATTATACAAAATTTTTGAAAAAAGAGACAAAATGTTATAGCAATCACGCAAAAGTCATGTATGTACAGGGGAACAAACATGAAGGCTGTGACTCCTGTGAGAAGACGGTAAGGAGACACTGAAGGCCGTGACTCCTGAGAGAAGATGGTAAGGAGACGTATGAAGCCCTCCCTCCTGTGAGAAGTTATAAGGGCGCATTTTTTGAACACAGGAGGATAAAAGAGTTATCCAGAACTCTAACCCAGAAGTAACATCTTTATATTCTAAACATCTATATTTGGGAGGAGGGTGGGGTGTAAATGGGAAGGGTTGGATGAGGGAAGGAGGAAAACAATGTAATTATGTTTTAAATTCAAAAAACAAAAATAAAAATATATTTTATGTGTATGAGTGTTTTGTCTTCTTATATCATTATGTGCATGCCTGGTGTAGGAGAAGGTGCTGGAGAGGTCAAAATCAGGAGTTTGAACCAGTAGGTGGTGGCGGACGCCTTTAATCCCAGCACTCAGGAGGCAGAGGCAGGCGGATCTCTGTGAGCTGGAGGCCAGCCTGGTCTACAGAGTGAGTTCCAGGACAGCCAAGGCTACACAGAGAAATCCTGTCTTGAAAAGCTAAAAATAAAAATAAAAAATAAAAAAATAAAAATAAAAGAGGGAGTTTGATCCTCTAAAGTGGAGTTATGACAGGAAAAACAGCTGCTTTGTAGAAGAGACAAAACAATGAAAGCATACAAGCCTGCGAAGTACCCAGTGTCTGCCAGAACCTCACAAGTGGGCACAGGCTGCAAAGCCAGCACTCCAGGACATAGCTCTCTTGGTCTACCCTGAGCAACAGAGAAGGAAAGAATCCCTTGATTTCACCTTTTTCTGGGTCCTGGACGGGTGCAGGGTACAGGAGTGGTTGAGAATGTCAGCCAACAGAAGACAGAACTGGGGAGACCGCAGCTGCTTCTCTCAGGAGAAGAGTGGTATCGAGAGACTGGGTAAGGCAAAGCTGCGTTTCTCTTATGTTTGGTTACATGGCTCTAGGTGCAAAAACAGACCTAAATTCCCAAATCCCAGCCTCCTGGCTAGATGGAAGAGTCCTCAGAAACCAGAAAACACTAGGTGACAGAGCACAAGATTCAAGGGCGTGATCTTGTCACAAGATTTATTAGTACTTCAGATTACTGTTCCTACATGCACACGTGGATCTGTTCTTGTGTAGCTTAACAAAGACTTTGGAAATGGAACCAACAGATTCCTGTCCAGGTCCCACACTAGGAGGTGGAATACATGCTAAGATCCAAACAGCATCGACAGGCTGTGAAAAATGAGCTAACACCTGAACCGTGAACCACAGGAGAACACAGAAGAACTCACAGCTAACCCGACCCTGGTCACCTCCTGCTAACGCAACTGTATCAACATTCTCTGTGGGATTTAAGCAAGACTCCAAGCCTCATTAGGCAATATTCAAGATGAAGACATAGTTAGAAATTATTTGACATACAAAGAAATACAAAATCTCAGCTGTTACAAAAAACAGTCAACACAATGTTAACCCAGATGCTGGAATTACATAACAATGGTTTAAAAGCAGCTACTATAAAAATGCTGCAGGAAGTAATCATAAGTTTTCTTCTAAGAAAAGAAACTGAACATATTAAAATAATTACACAAAACTCAAATTCCAACATTTATAAATAAAAACTGTACAATAAATAAATAAAGCCATGTTTGGATGAACTGATGTTTTGTTCTACAGGTGTTAAAATTTACTGTAACAGATACCATAAGGGTTGCAAAATGTAAAATATTTACTATCTTCTTATGTAGAGAACACATTTGCTGACCTCCTTTTTATTTACTTAAATTTTTTTATTCTTTGAGAATTTCATACAATGTATTTTGATCATATTCATCCTCAACTTCACTCAGATATGCCTTTCTTTCCTCCCACCTCATTTTATGTCCTTAAAAAAAATAACCCACTAAGTTAAATTTGTGTTGTCTATACACCCCTGGGTACAGGGTCATCAGTGAAGGAAGAGAGAGATAACAGGCGGAAAGAAAACCGACTCTCCATCCCCCAGAAGCCATGAACAAAATTGAAATATAGTTAGGCAGAAACAGAATGCCATGAACTGCCTCCCCCTCCATGCTAGAATGCTAACCAGCTTGATCTTCTCTAGACAACCACAGCTACTATGAGTACAGTGTGGTGCTCCTGTCAGCCCAGAAGACACTGTTCCATCCAGTCCTCCTCCACTTCTGATCTTCCCACCCCTCTTCCATAATAATTCCTGCATGCTTGTGTGCTCTCTAGCACCCCCACCCCGTGTGTGTGTGTTATAGTGCATGTTATAGATACTCTATTTGTGGCTGAGCTCGGCACTTCCATGTATTCTCTGTTCTTTGATCAGTTAAGTTTTTACATTAACCACCAGCAAGACCCAATTCTAAACTCTCCCTGCCATACTAATAAATCTAAACTATTTCTTGGAGTCACATGTAGAACCCTTCACAATAAGGATTTGTGCAGCCCTGACAGGGGTCCTTGTTTGATTTTTCTTGTCATGAAAATTGAGTTTTAGCCATCCATGTTGAGTTATATCAAGTTCCCTTCATAAGAGCTGGGAGTGAGGGAGGGTGGTACACACCTATTATTCCAGCACTTGGAAGACAAAGGCAAGACAATCATGAGCTCAAAGACAGGGCTACACAGTGAGACATGATGAGATAAAACCTCTTACCCTGGAGTCCTGGTTGTTCTCTGTCTAAACCCTTGGCTGGGCTCTGACCAAGTGCATCACATTTACTACTTCCTTGGCTTCCAAAGACTCAGTTCTTCCATTTTAAGTATTCTCAGAGTAGCCCATTATTATTAGTGTGCTATCAATTATAACTGCCTTTCTACTTGCAACCCTTTCCACTATATCCTATCCTCCTGAAGAGGGACTATGCCTTAACTTTCATCGTGTTTCTACTGCTTCAGAGTGGTTGGCATACAGCAGATACTCAATGAAGAATTATTGGGCTTCTGTACAACTCAAAATCAGTTAAAATGATCATTGTTCATAGCCACACTTGCCTATTTCGAGTGTGAACTAAAAAGAACATATACTTCATCGTAAGAATAAGAACACAGTATGTGCTTGGGAATTCTTGGTAGGTAAACCATAACATCTAAGGGGCCTTTCTGAGCTTTTATTGCTCTTGTTTTCATTAGGAATTACTGCTAGAGTTGGGCATGATGGCATGTACCCAGCATTCAGAGGCAGAGGCAAGAGGACTATGAGTTCAAGGCCAGCCTGGTATATATATAGGAAGATATTATCTCATAAAACCCAAAGCGGGGGAGCCAGGCAACACACGCCTGTAATTTAAGCACTGGGAAGACAGAGGAAAGAAGACTATGAGTTTAAGGACAGTCCTGGATAACAGTGAGACACTGTCTCACCCACCAGGAACCCCCTTCACTCCAACCAGAACCAAGAACATAACAGATTAACATGGTGTGAAGGGTTCAAACAGTACAATTTAAATACATCTCCCTAGTTCTCCTCTTACTATACTCTTATATAAAAATCCTTGCTACTGAAAAGGCCAAAGCATTTTTCATGTTCTTTATATTTTACTGGAAGATATTTCATGCCCATGAGGAAGATGCACAGAATTCTTCTACCTCTCTCAACCCGTCCACATGCTGGTTCCTTCGGATGGCCAGGATACAAGTTTGTGTGAGTGCTAAACCAAGATAGGACATGGATATGCTCATACATACTCTCACTTGCAGAGAAGGATGAATCCAGTGTCACTTCATCCAGAGGAATCACAAGCTGGCCTCCAACCTCCCACTTCTTACGATCAGAGGAAATGGCATTTTCTCTCTCATACTCTTCGGCATCTTTATGACCAGCAATCTCACAAGAGTCAGAGTGAGGATGCTTTTCCTTTTCATCTTCTTGAGCTTTAAGATTTTCATTTAGCCTACGCAGTATTTCTCGCTTACTCTGAAACAGTTACAGTGTAGTAAGCAGATCATTAAATAAAACGTCTGAAAGAATCTTTGAAAACTGTACTTACTGAAATAGCATTGTTGCTCTTTTGCATTTCTTCTGAAGTTTCTTGGGTATCAGTTAAACTTCCGTCCTTTAAACACAAGATGGTTGAAAAGTAAGAGATAAAACCATTTTAGAACTCTATGTTAAAACTGTTCATATTTTTGTTACTTTTAGTTTTTCATTCAGCTGACCCCTGTAAACTTCTCTCATTCCTGTACAATGTTAACATCGCTTCTTTATCAGTAATGATAAACATTTAACACTATCAATCAGTTAATAAACAATATATGTAAAGGTCAATTCTCAGTCATCTGTCATGTTTGTGGATTACTGCTAATAATGTCCTCTTCGGTATCTAATTTTTGATCATTTAAAGTCAATGACAGATTTTATATATATTATATATATATATGTATATATAATATATATAATATATACATATATTATATATATATAAGAAAATTCATATACTTTGTTTATTAGAGCTAGGAAAAGGGTTGTTATTTTTTGCTTTTTAAAAAAAATATGATTCTTGGGGCTAGAGAGATGGCTCAGTGCTTAAGAGCATTGGCTACTCCTGCAAAGGACCTGGGTGTGATTCCCAAAACCCACAAGGTGGCTCACAACCAACTGTAACTCCAATTCTAAAAGATCCAACACCCTCTTCTGGCCTCTAGGGCACCAGGCAAGCACGTTGTGCACAGAGATACATGCGGGCCAAACAGCCATAGACATAAAATAAATACCTATAAAAAGAAATCAGCCTGGGGACCAAGCTTGCCTCATGCAAGTGTTCTACTAACTGAGCTAAATTCTTAGTCACAGGGATGTTTTGGTAGATTAAGGAATTCAGATGTGTTATTTTGAAACCATCTCTATGTACACACACACACACACACACACACACACACACACACACACAGCCAAAGCATTAAACATAATTGACAACTAGCTTTCTTTTCTATGGAAAGAGGTTAGCAAGAACAGATTTTTAATCATTTGTGTCATTAATAATGTAAATTTTGCTTCTTTACTATAATAAAGATATTTTTAAAAACTTAATATTTAAAACTATATGAAAAGGAAAAGATTAGTTGTTATGAAGGTTATGACAGTGTGGCTAAATAATCTTCAAAGTTTTAAATAAGCAGTTTCTATAAATACAACACAGTAAGAAAAACCATTTAGTCACATGGATTATCTCAAATTTTATAATGTTTGAAAAATATGAAAGAATATAGTGATCAGATTTAAAGTAACACATGTAAATGAGACAAGGAGGATTTTACCCAGGAAAGCAGTCAGAGAGATGAACAGCTACTTGAGATGTGAGACTGGGTACCAGGAAGGCAACCACACAATGGAATCTAAAGTTGCTGTAAACAATGTGGCACATGCAAAGTCATTATCAGAAAGAGAGAAACCTACTGGGAGAACAACAGACTCTTACACGGGCTCTGAAGAGTGACCAAGATACAGTTTCATACTTTGCCTTATTTTCAAGATAAACACAAAAGCTGCAAGAAATCTGTGTAGTAATCAATAACCTCTGCAGTATGAAAAAAATCTAATGAATCTCAAAAAATACAAGTCACAGACAGTTGCTACTGGGTTAGGAAAACAGGGTTATTAAGCTGTAGGGCTCAGCAGACTGTTTTCAGGGCCATTTAAGTCCAGGCAGGCACTCCACATTCTGAGCCCTTTCACCCAAAACAGTCCTTTTAGACAGGGAACCTGGTGCACACTTGCAAGTTTAAACTTACTTGTTCACATATTTTTGTTTGTTTTATCTGTGTGGCATACAGAGACTCAGAAGTAGAAGGCTAAAAAAAAAACTAAGTACACCGAACCTCATTTACCATGTTACAAAATTTCAAATAGTTACAGTTTGTTCCTAGAGCTAGTTACTTTAAATACTACAGAGATATTATTCTTAAAAAACTTGCTAATCACGCTAGCAAGGGTCTAAAACTGTCTGCCACATTATTTTCAGTAGTTGCTTTCACATGTTTTTACTCCATTTATTGAGTGTATGTGTAGGCTTGCTGCTGGGGCTGCTTCAACTACATGGAAGTCAGGGAAAGTCTGTGGGAGTCGTTCTCTCCTATCATGTGGGTCGGTCTCAGGGATCCAACTCGGATTGCCAGGCATCGTGGCAGGCACCTTTCCCCACTGAGCCATCTTCCCAGTCTGTCAGTAATTGTTTTAAAGTAGGAAAGAATCATTTCAGCACAATGCCCCCCACTCCTACACATGCATCTGTGAGACACTGGTTCTATGCTCTCTCTACTCCCGTGTCAAAACCCACGGGTGTTCAATTCTCATATCTAAAATGGTAAGTGCATATAACATACGTATCTCCTCCACAGACCATGAATCATCTCTAGATTAGTTACAGTACCTAACAGAATGACATGCTGTATAACTTGTCATTGCATGGTTTAACAGCATAGAACATCATTCAGTACTACAGATGCCACGCGTACAGGTCTGTGCAGTACCATCAGCAACAACATGACTTTTGCTCCTAAACACTCGGGGTCTGAAACTGATTTGACTTTGTATATAGGGACTCCTCAGAAGCAAAGTGCTCAAGGTATATTTATCCATGATAGAGTTCTAGATAAAAATCTATGGGCAGAAAAGTTCCAATATTCAGATGAACCCCCTCCCCCCCCAAATTCAAGAAGATAATTTTTCTCTAGAAAAAAACAAGGAGACATTAGGAACTAATGCCAATTTATTACATTTATTTTCACTTAAAATAATCTTTAGTCTTTGAGGAATTCTGAATTTTATGAAACTTACCAGGCCTACTTCTTTCAAAGCTGAAGTCACAGAAATAACAGGTTGCATCTGCTGCTTTGATGGAGAACCTCCTGTTTCTTGATGCTCCAAAGGTAGAGAAACATCTGAGCTCCTTACCCTCACGACCAACTGCAGGAGACAAAATACACAGCTAAATACATGAAATTTCATATCTTCATGGAGAAAGAAAAAGCCCCAAGATCTCTTTTATGTATAGTACAGATAATTTCTCATTCCTTAATGACTCACTGGGTTGGACACTATGATATATGCTGATAGAACAGTGAACAAGAAAATCCTACAGCTGTTTATGTAAATACAGCCATGTGTCTATCAAACACTCCTAAATAAGACTGGCTACCATTGCACTAGCAATCTCATAAAATGATTCCCCTCAAAAGTCTTCTAGGGTCAAGAGGAATGCTCAATAGTTAAGAGTACTTACTTCTCATGCAGAGAACCTATGTTGAGTTCCCAGCACCAATACAGTAGCTCACAACCATTGTTAACTCCAGTTCCAGGAGATCCAATGCCCCTTTTTGGCCTCCATGGACTTCTGCACACACTGGTGCACATAATCTCACATAAGCATAAACATATATCCATAAAAATAGTAAATACACACAAAAGCAATCTGTAAATGTCTTATAAAATATTTATTTTAATCTAATACAATGTTTGATGTAAAAGTAGTTTATTAATTTTACATTTCAGAAAGAAATGCTTCTAAAATGTCTTGCAATTTTGTACTGTTTTCTTAAAGCCCAAAAACCCATCTTTCAACACCAGGCTCTTATTATAAAAGTATCAACATGAATAATAATGGGTGAGTGACAGATCCACAAAGTAAAATTTACTTATTACATTATATCAATATACGTTTGTAGTTATCATGCACTAGCCATTGAGACTCTAATCAACGTAAAGATTGTGAGCTTAAGAGCGTATTATTATATTTTGTAATTGTGTGGATGTGTGTGCACACAGTGTATATGCATTTGAGTTCCAGGTGACCCCAGAGATTCTCCTGCAGCTAGTGTTTCAGAAGTTGAGAGCTGCCTGACGTGGGAGCTGGGATCTGTACTCAGGTGTTCCACAAGAGCACTCCTGAGCCATATTTCCAACTCCCAAGACAGTGAACTTTTAAATAAAGAAGCAGTGGAATTAGGTGTGCTGTTGGGAGCATGGAGCTACTTGCTGCCAACTTCTTCTCTTTCTTAATCACTAAGACTTGCAGTAAGTATATATTTCAGGTAGTATTTACTGAGCTATGCATAAAGTGGTAATTCTAATATTTAGGCTTCCAGATTTTTTATACCAGTACCTATTTGTTTAAACAATGGCACAACTGACTTAACTACAGGCCAATAATATTAATCATACTGATTTCAAGATTTGAAATACATTTTTAAAGTATTCAGAACTCATAACAGCCAAGCATTCTCATTCTGAAGGATTATGCTAAAATATTTGAAACTGTTTTGTTAATACAAGAATGTATATTCAAAGCTTTCAAATTCTATGGAAATAGGAATAAGTTCTAAAATTGTCTGGCACAACATCAGCATTTTTTAGAATATATTAAAAGTCATTTAAAAATTAAGTGATTTCATAAAAACTGGAGCAGACACCAATCAATCACAATTAAGGAAGTGCTTAGAAGCACTGGTGTTGAGAACAACTGTGACATTTTTAGACTCTTGTGTTAATTCTCTTGAAGAAATGCTTTCTAGTATCTCAATACATGAGTCTGATTCTTTTATGAGTAAACCAATTCAGTAGACAACATCTACTAACAAACTGAAAGCTGCATTATGTTCCTATCTGGACCAAACCCCATCCAGACAGTGAACACCCAGAATGAGGAAGGCTCAGTGTTCTCTCCTAAAGGGTTGCAAACTCTAATGGAAGGGGAAACAGCTCAATTTCTGTGTTACTGAGAAACGGTAAATGGTCTGAAGTAGAATGAAACAACAACAACAGAGCAAGAACTGACTGTGCAAGCCAGATGAGGGAGGTGCTGAGGAGAGCAGCCTCCCCAGCGCCCGGAGCCTCAGCAGCCCTTCCGAATCAGTCAGATACTTCTACACTCAGCCTCAAACGCAAATTTACTAGTGTTGTGAGTTTTCATTACTTCTTGGACTCTCTGAGACTCAACTTTTCTCCTCTAACAAAAGAGTAATGCTCACTTTCTCTTCTCTGAAGAGATCAAATGAAATAAGTTGTGTGAAGCACACAATTATTGATTTAACCTTTATCAAATAAGATCATTTGGCTTAAGCACCAAAAGCTTAGATTGAATTACTGATGAATTAACTTGCAGAAAACAAGTTTCTGATCTTTAGAATACAGAAATCAAACAAAAAGCCATCTGTGTATAATCAGAGTTTAAAGTTTAGGCAGTGCATTGGACATTTTAGAACAGAAAAGAAACAGTGATCCACAAGTCAAATGCTTTACATTATAAATTCAAAGAAAACTAAGATTCAAAAAGATCAAAAAGTAATATAGTTGTATGAATAATTAAGTAGAAGTTACCATATGTCTTGAAACAATTTCACTAAGGAAAGGATAGCATCAAATGTCCTTCTCAACTAACAGTTCATTTTAATTCATGATTTTAAGGATTATCTTAAAAGTCATTTTTTAAATTATTGGGCAAGCACCTATAAACAGGGCATAAAGGAAATCCCATAAAGAAAAATCCATGCTCTCAGTGTCTCAACAAATTATACCCCATTTGGCCATAATTATTTTTGTGTATGTATGGAGGCTGAAGATTGATGTCATGTGCCTTCCTCAGTCATTCTCCCACTTATTTTAGGAGGGATGCTCTCTCACTGACATCCTGCACATCTGTTCTAGAGTGGTTGCTCAGTATCCCAAGGATCATCCTGTCTCATCTCCCTAGTACTGCAGTAACAGCAGTGCACTGCCTTGCCTAGCTTTTACATCAGTGCTGTGGACCTGAATTCAGTCCCTTAGCTTTCGACAGCAGGAACTTTGCCATGCAAGCCATCCCCCTGTCTACATTTATCTATACTTGTTAAAAAGACCTTTCAGACCAGGATATAGCTCAATGGTAGAATAGCTGTCTAATATAAGAAAGGACTTGATACTCAGAACCCTAAAAATTAAGTTTTTCTTATCCACATAATTCCTATATACATAAACATAACTATTATATAATTAAGATACTAGTGCAACTCTCTGAAAATGTAGGCACATGGTCTCAGGTGCCCTAGGTAGGGCTGATGGCAGAGCTCAATTAGGGTGTCTAGCATTTGTCTAACACAAAGCCCTGGGTTCCATCCTGAGTACTGCATAAACCCAGCTTGGTGGTACATGACTCAAATTCTAGCACTCAGTAGATAGAGAAAAGAAGATAAAACATTCAAGGTCATCCTTAGCTACATAGTAAGATAGCCGGGGCTATGAGAGCCTGTCTCCAAAACAAAGTAAAACCCAAACTGTTATGCAATCCTTAGCTTTGTTCTAAGATCAAGATGGCAAAACCTTGAGTGTGAAAATTCCTTATCTTGGTCTCAGTATTTTCAAGGAAGCCATAACGTGTAATTAGTAGAAGTATTTCTGTATTAAACTCAACCTTGAGAGAAGCCTAAAGTAACAGAAAAGCATCTAAGTTCAGACTGCCCAGTTATACAGGGTCTGACACTAGAGAATCAGATTCGATACAAGCTGTGCTTATGTGATGATGGAAGAGCTCAAGGGAAGTCATTCCTAAACTAAAATAGTCACACTCCTAAAATGATGTGATACAATATAATGTACCTTGACTATCAAAGGAGAAAACATTTCATTGATCCCTCAATTCAGAAAGCTATCAAACGGGAAATAAAAAATAAAAAAAAATAAAACTGAACTCTAAAATAAGTTTTATCAGTCTACTCCAGGGATAAGTCCTGATAGGCTAGCCAATCCTATGTAGTCAGCCCTAAGTACATACATATGAGGAACACTAAATGGATTCAGTAGCTTGTATGTGAGTGTCTGTATGTGTGTGCAATAATAATAATTAAAGAAAACGAGGTCATGCGTTTGATAGGGTGTGTTTATTAGGAGGAACTGGAAGACAGAGGCTATAGAGTGAAAGTGGTGTAAATATAGTACTCATATATGAAATTCTCAAAATGAGATAGGTTTAAAAAAACAAAACAAAACAAAACTGCTGGTGGCCATGTCAGAGGAGCAGCAGATGGCAAGTGACCTCAGGGGATTGGCCCACCAGGAAAAAAAAAAACGCTGATGGATAAATCTTTGATAGGCAAGGCCCCAAGACCACAGACTTCAGGATGTATTTTGCTTCTGCTGTGCCTTCACATGTTGCTGCTGTCATTTTCCTCCAGTATCTGGCATAGTGTGAATGGGTGTGGGGAGATCCCCACTGCCTGTAATGTAGTGTGATTATCTCATGAAAACATACTGTTCTACTGGGCATTTTTACCTGTGGATTATTGTGAAGATGATTTCTTCTTAAGTTGTACTGTCTAACTGATAATAATAATGTTAGTTTAAATAGAGTTTTGTTAATTAAAAATAAAACAAGGAAGTTTCACACAGCTAGAACACATGAGTTTCTATTGAGGAGCCATATAGACTGTGACTTAGGTTAATGATTAAGAAAAACAACTGAGTCCAAGTAGCCCACCTAGCTTAAACTGTTTTAACCTTAATGTGGGGAGATGTGTTCACAGGTTTCAGAGTGAATCATAGCTGAAACAAAGCTTTGAAAATAAAGTTAGACTAAGATGTTTTTGTTAAATAGCTTTAAGGTGAAAAACCCCAAGAAAACAATCTAAAGTTTCAGAAAGGCACATTGTTGAGTGAAGAACTCTTTAAGGTCAAAGAACAAGAACAAACAGCCCAATTATCATTAGCTGATGTGCCTTTCTTGCTAGGATTGGTTGATGACCAAAGGTGATGATTAATTCCTTATACCCATTTCTGCCCTCAATCTCTTGATGTAAAAAACTATTGATGAGTAGGTATGCACCCTAAAGATTTAAAGTAGAGCTGACTGATTGTTTTTCATGTATAAAAGTTTAAGTTTGTGATTCTTTTAAGGTTCCTTATAAAATTACCTTTCAAGATAGATAAATAATAAAATGATTGGTCCTTCCTTTGTAACTGCAAAACACAGCCTGCCAGTAAAAGAAATGGCTGAGAAGAACATCTTGCTTGCTTACTCTGTTAATCTATGACAAGTTGCTTGGGTTCTTGGGGATAATTTGTTTTTCACCTGTAATATATAAAATGCTTAACTGTGTTAAAGGATATAGAAAACATGCTGTTTTTCACTTGTATTCATTGTAATCATTCACTTGAAAAACAGAATGTAACCACACTGGAATTTCTATATTGCCTAAAATAGTTTGCTTGGGTCTATAAGCTGTAAGGGAAAAAAAAATAGAAGAAGGAGAAGGAAAACATCAAGAATGAGAAATAAGGAAGAATAAAGATAGAAGGAAAAGGAAAACATCAAGAATGAGAGAATTAGGAGGGAAACATGAAGAGAGAAGGAAAAGATCAAGAATAAAGATAGAGTTAGAAGAAAAACATCAAGAGAGACAGAAGGGACATTTCTTGGTAGAGATAAGAAAAGAGAATTTAGAAGAACAGAAAAAGGAAACTATTAAGAGAGTATGTGAGTGTCGTTTTCCCTTAGCGCCCTCAGATAAAAAAGGTTTAATATACTGACTCAGTGGATTCCCATGTGCTGCTGGAGACTGGCCCCCAGGCAGCAATAAAAAAAAAAAACCACAAAGTTGTATAGAAGACAAAACCCATAAAGTCTTAAAAACCAAAAAAAGTCAATTTTTAAAATGAAATTGATCATATGGCTAAGTCTAGAATATTTACTTCCTTCTAAGCGTAGGTTTACAAAACTCATTCAGTTTTAAATATAAAATTTTCAATAGGGCTAAAACATTGACTTGAAGTTTTATAAGTCAGATGTGTGTGTGTGTGTGTGTGTGTGTGTGTGTGTGTGTGTGTGTGTGTACACACACATACATACACACATATATATGTAGCTAGAGTTTTCCTGCCTGGCCCACAGTCAGGACAAATCTCTCTCACCTGCCAGTCCCACAGCTGCTCAGACCCGACCAAGTAAACACAGAGACTTATATTGGTTACAAACTGTATGGCCGTGGCAGGCTTCTTGCTAACTGTTCTTACAGATTAAATTAATCCATTTCTATAAATCTATACCTTGCCACGTGGCTCGTGGCTTACCGGCATCTTCACATGCTGTTTGTCATCGTGGCGGCTGGCAGTGTCTCTGACTCAGCCTTCCACTTCCCAGCTTTATTCTCCTCCTTGTCCCGCCTATACTTCCTGCCTAGCCACTGGCCAATCAGTGATTTATTTATTGATCAATCAGCAACACACTTGACATACAGACCATCCCACAGCATATATGTGTGTTGATTTGAGACTGACATACTACCTACTCTGTGTGTGTGTGCTTGTTGCCCAGGCTGACTTCTGACTCATGGCACATAGACCAGCATAGCCTTCAACTTATGTCTCAGCCTCCTGAATGTTGGGAATATAGTCATTCAGTGCCATATTCTGGATAAGAAACTTGTTTTCCTTATGGTACTAGGAATTGAATCCAGAGCTTGGGCATGCTAGGCAAGCCTTGACTGCTGAGCCAGATCCCTGCCTCTTAGAAGACAGGCTTTAAAATAACCCTCAGAAGCACACATCCCTGCCATGTTCTCATAAGCTTCACAAATTTAAGACATTTTCACATTACCTACATCTCCATAGGTTTTCAGTTATTACTATAAGATTTTCTATTGCATATTTCAATTTTATCATGTGCTGAAAACTTAATTAGCAGTGCCACCAAATGACAAAGTAAAAATGCATTAAAAAAAAAAATGGGGCCAGCTTTACAAACATAAATACTATGGATTTATCAAGTCTTAAGTCACAGAACAGTAACCATCATTTCACTTCTACATGTGGATTAGTGAGGATGAGTAAGTATGTCAGGACCATGTCAAAGGGGCCCAACTTCATATTTTGAATACAGAATAATTTCACGTGTAGTTCTGTAGCACTTAAGGACATATCTCAGCTAAACTTCCGTTTGAAGAACAAATTCAGACTAATTAGCCGGCAGAACTGAGAGCAAAAGTCAGACACCCTATTCCAGACACATTTTCTCTCCCTGCACCAGGGTATGTTCAATAAACAAAGGTTTCTTGAACAATTCTCAATACACAGATTTGAAAAAAGCTGAGTCACAAAATTCCCAACAAATTTACCCACTTGTTTCTTATCATCGTCACGACAACGCTAATCCTACGCTGGGTTTTCTGAGTTACACGAACCTGAGCTGATGGAGGCATACTATTCTGAGTGAGTAGAGCCTACACGTCTAGGGAAAATACCAACATTTGATAGAGGGCCTGTGTGTGCATACTGATGGGAGCAAATAAGTAGCTGACCCAGTATCTAAGACTGTGGGGGAAACAAAAAGTGAAATCCATGTCTACTATTATCAAATAACTGGATGTTCCACGAGACTTTTGTCTGAATTCAGCATTTTAAAAATATAAAGCTGAATTGGACTACATATAAATTCATCATATTTGATGGAATCATTTTTATTCTACCTACCTTCAGGGTCTATGAAAAATGTTAGAATGGATTATTTAAAGTTAATTAAAAATAAGAACGAACAATACTTGCAACTGTGACACTGTATCTTAACATTATGGTAAAAAGTTCATCATGACAAAGACTTAAAAATGCACATACTTAAAAAACACACCGAGTTCTACACTGACTTATCCTGATACAATCTTTGTCTATGTGAAAAGCAGCATGTACCAGTAAAGCTTTTGCTTCTTGTGCTGAAGACAAAATCCTAGGAGACATAATGCAGACTGTTTCCCACTGCTGGGTATGGAAGGCACCAGAAGGCGGCTCACAACCATTTGAGAGCAAAGTAAACTTGGAAGAGATTTGGGCAATAAAAGAGATGAGTTGCTCTGATTATTAAAAGAATGATTTCTACTTTTGACAAATTCTGTTGTTCTTGGGGCAAAAGTGTTAACCTACCAGTTACTGCTTCATACTAATACTGTACCGATACTATGTCAGAGAGAAAAAACAAGGACCACTGCATCAAGAACACGAGTCAAATACAAAATCTAAATAAAGGCAGCTAACACTCTGGCCAGTGGACCAGGAAGTAATTCCTAGGTGTCTGAAAAGATGCGACTGTACCATTATTCAAGTCTTGTTTGGGCTAAGACTGAAATCTAGTCCAGAAAACGGACAATAAGACGAAGGTGAGTTCTCCACTGTCCAGTTTTGATGTTAAAGAGAAAAACATAAATAGCAAAGCTTGAGGATCTTAGAAAAGTTATAATCCAAACTACATTGGATATAAATAAAAGAGAACTTACTGAGAAATTCTTAGTCTCATTTCTGAGCTCTAGAGTTCTGACTCTTCCATTCATGATCCTTGAAAAAAATTGGCTAAGTGAGACATAAAACTATTACTTTTTCCTACTATAGCACACAGTGCTATACTGGATCGTTTCTGCTAAGGACAAGAACAAGGCATCCCTGTTATTACTCATCACTGTCCGAGAGATTCTAGCTAATTCAACAATTAACACAATAATAACAAAAGGCCCACTGTAGAGAAAGCAAAGAAAAAAATGTGTAAGAACCCAGGGTCAATGCAGGTTCTGACCGGAACTGTAAATGTGACTGCAATGTAAGTATTTTCTCCACTGTGTAAAGTAGTCAAAATTAAAGAAAAATAGTACATACACAGTAGTTACAAATGCCGGCATACTATAAATAATAAACTCTAGGAGCAATATTCTGTTAGAGATAGAAAACAATAAAATTAGAAATGATCTACAAGTAACTTTTATAATAAAAATTTTAAGTACAAAAATTAGGATATAAAATAATGAATAGACACATAAAATTAACATGTTCCTGGATAAAACTCTATAAACACATCGTTTCTTAAATTCAACTCATACGTTTAATAATATTATACCTATAAAAATTCCAACAGGATTAAAACAACAAAAACCAACCTAACAGAAAAAACAAGGATATATGAACGAAGGAAAAGAACCAGAACTGTGAACAGGAGAGTACAGCCCCAATGCAGGCAGAGTCCTACGAGGAAATAAAGTACATTCTAAACCTAGAATCATCCACACGGGAGGAATGGCCTCTTTTAGGCAGAAGAGCAGAGGGGATTCCACACAGAAAGACACAGCTTTTCTGCACATAGGCTAGAGAGTCATTTAAAAGATCTTGAGGTAGCAGTATAAATCAGTGGCAGATTAACCTTCAATTTGGAAGGCAAAGGTGCTGGTTGGGGATAGGGCAAGAAGGGAGAGGGAAAAACAAGGAGAGAGGGAGGGAGAAGGAGAAAGGAGAGCGAATAAAAATCAGAAAAAAGCGCTGCTACAGCTTGGTCATGGAGCACTTGCCTATCACATACAAGGCCCTAGGTTCGATCCTCAGTGCTACAAGATTTACAAACTGGAAGGCGACTGCCTCCTCATTAAGAGCCCAAGGACATGAATTCAAGAAGCGTTAAGTGCGAGAGTCTTACATGCTCTTCCCACACTCTCTTTTCCCTCTCATAGGCTTCCTTTCTTTTCCGCTCCAGCTGTTCTTTCAGTACAGCAGCTCGTGCATTTGTTTGGGCCTGAAAATGAAAACCATTAACACAGTTAGTTATCAGGAGGACAGCCTATGGAAATCCTCCTCCAACCCGGCTCTAAAACGACACTGACTTTGAAGCCAACAGAAAAGTATGTGTGTGGTTCTTGAATGAAAATGTACACTCATTCTGTACCCCTTTAACCTTGGACAACAGAGGATCAGCGGATAGCTGCCAAGTGAAAGTAAGTCTAATACACTGGAACGGAAATTAAAATGTAAACATTTAAGACAATTGTTACACATAATTCCATTCATCTTCAGAGAAACTTGCAGATTTCATTTGAGACAGTGTCTTGTGATCTATATCTATATATATATCCAGTCTCGCCTCGAATTCATAACAATCCTCCTGCCTCAGCCCACCGAATGTTGCGATTACAGGAGTAAGCCCACTCTGGCTGTTTCTTTTACAGAATTACATGTGTCCCAGTTTTATGTATTCACATCATAATTTCACATAATTACTCTTCAGAAATGTTGTATAAAGAAGAAAAATGCTATTTTCCAGAAATGGTGAGGTTACAGATAAAGGGGAAATCAAAAGTTGAAGCAAGATAAGAAAATGATCCATCTATATAAAAAAGATTAAGAACAAACGTCTCTCTCTCAGCTTTCATTTTCCTAGTAAGTTATATAATTTCAGCTATACCTTAAGTGACTCCATCTTTCTGAGCTTCAAGTCAGCTTCTTCTGTTGGTTCTTGTCCTTTGGTACCATTAGCTTCTTTCTAGAACAATTGTCAACACATCACTTAGCAAACAGCAGCCAAGCTCAGTGCCACCTCCGCCTACACTGACACATGTGAAATGAAACCACTGGACACTGTCCGTTCTCCCCAGAGCTGCAGCTGAGCCCTCCGGATCAAGACAGTAAAGAGCACTGTCAAGTGGTCTTTAGTCCTTTAGGGACATCAGGTATATTCTCTATTAAAATCCCTATGGAACAAATGAGCTTACCAATTTGCTGTGGGATGTCTTTCTGTACGCTGTGAACATGTGTTGCTCTGATTGGTTGATAAATAAAGTTATTTGGCCTATGGCAGGGCAGGATGGAGCCAGGCAGGAAAACCCAAGGGAGATAGTGAAAGCTGAAAGGAGAGGCAGGGGAGATGCCATCCTGCCATCCGGGAAGCAGCATGTAATGGCAAACAGTGGTAAAGCCATGGAACACATGGCGACATATAGATTAATAGAAATGGGCTGAGTTTAGTTATAAGAGCTAGCTAGCAAGAAAATTGAGCCATAGGCCACGGCCATGCAACTCATAATTGATATAAGCCTCTATGTGTTTACTTGGGTCTGAGCAGCTGCAGGACTGGGCGGGACACAGGAAAACTTTCAGGTACACCAATTTGAAATCATGAATTTAAAACTTACTTCATTGCTACAGATAGTTTCCTGGTCTTTGACCTTCATTTTCTTTTAACAGTTTTATCTTTTAGCATTATGGACATGGCATGTTTAAGCTTAATCTATTACTTAATTACTTTTTGAAAACTTTATTTTTACCTACATTCTCACCACGAAGTCTGGCTTTAATCTGTTGGCGCTCATTGAAATTCTGTAGTCTTATTTGCCTCAGTCTTGCCAGATAAACCTAAAATAGGAACAACAACAACAACAACAAACATTCACTTAAAAGGAAAACTGTGAACATCTTTACTGCTAAAAAACCTTAACTTATAGAAAAGTGTTAATCTGAATACAAGAAACAAAAGTTCTGAAATTTGGTTAATGAAAATGAAATATTAGCTTTCAAGTATTTAATTTAAAGCAATTTTTCTGCAAAGAAAGAAATATGTTATAATTACAAATTTTTAAATTATATCAAAAGAAAAGAAATTGAAACTCAGAAGACTGAGTAACAGTTATGGGGCAAAATTATGACACAGCATGTCAGTCAAAATATATTAACAGGTTCCTATAGACTCACAAAATCTCAAAAAAATTGTTAAGCATTTAAACCATGCAAGAAAAGAAGGCGATGAACTAAAAATGGCTGCGTGGCGGAGGTACTGAGCATGCGGAAAGCATACCTCTTCCTCATTGTTCCTTGGCTTCCCTCCTCTTGAAGAGCTGGGCCTGCCTCCATACAGAGATGCCAGGTTTTGCAGGATTCCCTGTTTGTCATTTAATGTACTAAGTTTAAAGAATGAGTGGGGCTACAATGCCCTTCCACCTAGGCACATCCACATGCCACTTCTTTCTTTTGGATAATACTGGTCACATCTAGATAGTACACTAAGCAGCTCTGGCACTTCCTACAGCCATGATGGCATGTAAATTCCGTGAGAACAGAAGTCATTAAACTCCAGTATAACTATTTAAAACAGAGACTGCATATGTCTTTAGAGTCACTAAAGAGGTTTTTAAGGATGTTTTCCTCATTAAAACCCAAAGTACTATTTTTTTTGCCTTTAAAAAGACCCAATCCATTTTTAGATGTCTATGTGCATAGTACACAATACACACAAACTTTTATATTCACTGCTGATTTCAAAAAATGTGTTGTACATTAGTTATCAGACTTAAACCATACTCTGCTCTCAGGTATGCCCTGTTAGAATACTACAAATAATTAGCCCCAGGCACAGACTGACTCATTTCCAAATACAGCTTATTGATAACATGGAATTATCTTACTAGAAATTATTCACATGCTTCAGCAAAATGACCAGATTATCTAATTATCTACTTTCTCTTCCTTCAACCTACAATCATGTTTAAAGTTTCTTCAAACTTAAAGAGCTCTTAATCCACTCTCCCCATCTATTATCTTGTATCAGTGTGTGGTGAATGTACTTTTACACTCATTATCTCCATTTTCCTGACTGTCAATCATATTTTTAACCTTCTACAAATCTGACTTCTAATTCTAGTATAGCTTAAATTTTTCTAAGTCACCAGTAGTGTTATAAATGATTAAAATGGAGCCTTTGAACAATTTTTTTTCACAAATTACTTTTGATTGAACTTACTTCATTTACAGATATATGTGTATTCTCTCATAAATATAGGAGGTTCACTATGGAAAATTTAAAAAATAAAGAAATCATTAAACATTTATAAAGCTAATATTTTAGAAATTTAAATTTTAATGGAATTATCCCCCCAAATATCCTTTTATTCATATGTATGGATGCATACGAGCATGTTTTTATAGAAATGAACATTTCTACAATTCTAATTTTTTTCACTTACAATTGTATTTTCAGTCCCTCCTCATATTCACTAACACATAAGAATAGAGAGATGGGGGTGGGTGATGTAGCTCTATGGTAGAGTGCTTGTCTGGCACTACAAGGAGGCCCAGGATAACATGAGTATGTGTGTGCACATGCATGTACACATACACACATGCACGAATAAACAAGGGATCCATGTGAGACCAGAGGGAGTATAAATTAGGAAATGGCTCTGGAGATTCAGAAGTCAAAAGAAGAAATGCCTAAGGTAAGGCAGAAACCGAAGGGCTCAGTAATAGCTAGGAAAGAGAACTGGTAACATTTGCCTTTGGTAGACAGTAGAAGGCAAAGATAACTTTTAGCTTGTTGACTCTAGTGACTGATCATAATCAACAACTGGGCTAAGAATAAAGCCATGCTGTAAAAAAAAATGGGAAAGTCACGTTCAGAAAGTGTTTGAGGTAGTTTTGTTCCATGTAAGTTCCACGTCCTCAAATGTCAATCTCATAAATTCTACATCGTGTGGTTCGAGAGAAAAAGGCTATGTCATGGGGCATTTGCTGTTGTTACTTTTGGAGGCAGGGTCTTACTATATTGCCAAGGCTGACTTTCAGAGTTCCCAGGCTTAAAGGATTCTTCTGCTTCAGTTTCTACAGTAGCAAGGTATGAGGTTGGTACTCCCTCTAACCTATTATGTGTCATAGTATATATGTAAGCTCATTTTTTAAAAGGTACACAGTTTTTCACAGAGTTAAAGGAGAGTGGGATAGTTATAAATGCAGCCCAAAACAAAATCATGAGACTGAGTTTTTCTGCAATTTGTTTTGTAAAATAAATTGCATAGCTTTCAAGTGTTAATTTTGTAGATAACAACGTGGTCCAGACAAGTTAGAAGGTTAGACATGCCCTTTTGCAGTATTTTCTAACACATATGACCAATGCTTAATTCAAAATCTCATCCACATCACATGCTGCAATGTCCCTGAAACCTTGGTTCTGAATACACAAGTACAGTGTGTACTGTTACTCCCTCAACACCAATGCTTCCTGAAACCAGGCCTCTAAATTCAGGACTATGACATGTAGTGTTTTCATTGGATACAACACTTTTCTGCTCTTATAGAAACAATGTTTAATTATAGAAAACAAAGAAAAGAGAGGCCCTGCCTCATCAAAGTAGCAGGTGAGAACCAACTACTTCAAGTGTCCTCTGATCATGATCTGTACATGCCTACACTCATACTCAAAAATAAAAAGCCAGTGTAAATATATTTACATTTTCAAATTATTTAAGCTCATCATGGGTATTAGCACTAGTGGAGAAATATTTATTAGGTACAACTTTAAATCACTGATGTTAGTATTATTTCCTGAAGCATCAAGGTTAACCTTAAATAGTACCAATACTATACAGTAGTATATGTAAGTGAAACTGTTAAGTGGAGACCTCGCAGTTGTCATGTTGAACTGAGATCGAAAACTGTCGCACCAATAAAACAAAAATTAATGGCATTACTAACTACTGTGAAATTAGTCTCCCGAGAGCCCTCCCCTAACATTCCATCTCTTTACAAGCATCACATCCAGGTCTTGACTGGTCATCTCTCAGAAGTTCAGTGTTCTACACATCTAATGGTACAATGCAAACCTATTTCAAATCCACTGACAGGGTTGAAGATGGAGTGTGATGGCAGCGTGCTTGCCTTGCATGTGCAAAATCCTAGATTGGATCTCGAGCCCTCCACTAGCCAAAAAACCAAGCATACAAAACCAAAATCCACCCCCCAAAAACATATCAAAATACAACAAACCAAACTAAAGATCTTGCCAAAGACTGAAGATTTTTTCATGAAATAATGGCAATAATGTTGGAAAACCATCCAATTCTCATGTAAAACCATCTACAAATATGACAGTTAAATAATGTATTATAATGCTCATACTTCAAAAAAATTATGTATTATAATGCTGATATTTCAGAATTGCATGGATATCAAAACAATAAAGTGACTGAACCTAAAAACCCATCCCTACCCAAAGAAAACCCAATACTGCTGAAAAGTAAGAGCTACAAGTAAAATATTCAAAGTATCCAGAGAAATACTAACTACAGAAGAAAATTTTCAACAGGTGAAGATATCTCATTTAAAACTACACAGAATAAAAAGGAGTTGATGGCCAGGTGGTGGTGGCACACGCCTTTAATCCCAGCACTCGGGAGGCCGAGTCAGGTGGATCTTTGTGAGTTCGAGGCCAGCCTGGGCTACCAAGTGAGTTCCAGGAAAGGTGCAAAGCTACACAGAGAAACCCTGTCTCAAAAAACCAAAAAACAACAACAACAACAAAAAAGGAGCTCATAACACAATTTTTCAAATAAGTAAACTGTCACCCAGAATATTGGATTCATAAATGACACCACTCAGCAAATGAAGACCACCTGAAGGCATCTTGTTATAAAAGAAAGATGAAGAAGATTTCTGGTTAGAAGAGCTGATCTGCAGGGACTGCTGGTTCCACAGTGGTCCATGACTGAGATTCAGGCTCCCTGGGAAGCCTCCCTCAGGACCAGCCTCCCTGTCTACACAACAAGGGGCCATTTCATTAAAACACTACCAATTAACAAAGCATTGCTAAAGGAATTGCTTCTTTTTAGCTCTGTTTTTTTTTGTGGCTGACAGACTTTTAGTCTGGTTGATTTTGCTAAGCATTTTTTTTTAAATTTACAAGCTCTTTATAATAATAATAAATAATAATAAGGAATTTTTTAGGGTTGAGGCTGTAATTAAGTGGTACAGCCCTTGGCTTACATGTTTGTAATGCCAAGTTTGAATCTTAGCACTGCAAAACAAATAAACAAAAGTACATGTGATCTTAGCCAGAAGGCCACGAAGCAATTAAAGAAAAGAAAAAGGAAATATGTAATATAAGTAAATAAATAAGAAGGAATTATTTGGACAGAAGGGATATAAGAAGCTTGGAAAATTGGATGGAAGGGAACAATAATTATGGTAAATGTTCCCTTTCTCTTAGTTCTTAAATTAGATAATAGAAAGGAATAATCAAGGGCTGGAAGTATAGCTCAGTGATAGTGTTTGTTCAGCAATTTTTGGGTTCAATATCCAGTAACACACATACATACACACAGAGACATACCAACTAATATACTAATATTCCTGGTTGCAAGGAGAAGGTAAAGGAAGCACTATGGTGGCAGCATTTTTCCATTCCCACTCGTTCTGGCTTCATTTCTGTTAGTGTAATAAAATACCCCAATGAAAAGGAACTTAGCAGACAAAGCTTATTCCAGCTTATAATTCCAGGTTACAGTTCATCACTGCACAGAACTCACAGTGGTAGAAGCTTGAAGAAGCAAGTCAAGTCACAGCCACAGTTAAGAGCAGAGAGAGAAGTACTCATGCTCATTTTCTTACTGCTTAGTTTAATTCCTAGACTCACAGAGGTCAGGACTTCCTACTGCCTAGTGAACACTGTTGTCCATAGTGGGCTAGGTCTTCCCACATCAATTAACATAAAATAATCTCCCAGAGACGTGCCCACAGGCCAACCCAATGCAGACAATACCTCATTCAGACTCTCTTCCCAGGTGACGATTCTAAGTTGTGTCAAGTTGACAACTAAAGTTAACCATCATACTACTGAACTAACACATAAAACATAACTTATAAACAGATTGTGAAAAATGAGGGTATGCATTCTTAGTCACTGAGGTAATCACTACTGAAAAGTTGGACAAAGATATAATCAAAATGATATGATTGATTAAAATGGAATATTAAAAAAGTACCCAGATAAGATAAAGGCAGCAAGAATCAGAAGAACAAAAATAAAGAAAGTAAACATAAAATGATAAAACATAACTAATCCAAACATATAAAAATTATACTGTCACCAGGTGGTGGTGGCACACGCCTTTC